GAGCAGAGTTTTACAAACACTTAAAATATTCTGTCTGGACTGAATAAGAAAAGCTTCAAAAAAGAAGCCATAAAAACAAACACTTAGAATATTTTAAAAGCTAAATGACAAATGCTACTCTAGGTATAATTATTTACTTTAAAGAAGAGAGAAAAGTCTATATTTCACAAGTTCTTTTCAGAAATTCACTGTTGTGTGCATACATGGGCGTAGGAGATATTCAGATACATGATAACAGATAGCATAGACCTTTTTGAAATATATGTTAATTACAGTGCTGAAGCATTGTGCCATGTGTAATATCATACAAAAATTTTGAGCTCAAATTTTCAAATTTTTGGAGCTCCACCACCAAACAGCTGACCACCTCATTTTAAACATTACTATGGAACCGTTTTTAAGTCAGAAAAGCTAAAAATATGTTTCCAGTTTCTCAAGTTGGGAAATAAATCAGCAGCTTTAGCTGCTTGAAATGTTTGATATCAGCACTTATCTTGAGTGTGAATATGTCAACTCTTCCTACTATTAAATGTGTTTGCACTGAAATCTTGAGCTGAAAAACAATGATTAATGAAGTTCTCTAGAACTCATTCCAAGTAATAGAATGACTATAAACTTTGTCAAAATTGATTATAGAGGACCAAAGGCACTTCAGTAGAAGGATGTAGAACTCCACATTCCTTTGTATGGTGTTATATTTTTAGAACTTTGTGAAACCCATGCATTCTCAGAAACCTGAGAATAGAGTCACAAATTTTCCTACAGCCATAAGAATGAGTAATCAGAGCCTAGTCTGTTGTTGTAATCACTGAAAACACAAAAGCTGAAAATCATACTTCAAATTCTGAAAGCCTTCCAAATTCTCTTTCCACTTACAATGTGTTAGACTTTTATGTCAGTAATAAGAAGCTCCACTATTTCTTCCTCAGGATGACTTAAAATGGACAGTTGATGTTGTGCATTTAGAAAAAGCCAGGGGCAATGGGTGGGGACAGCAGGCAGCTATTATTAAAACCAGGTGTGACTTTGTGTATGTGTGATGTCTGGTGGTTTTTTTTTTTTTTTTTTTTTTTTTTTTTTTTTTTTTTTTTTTTTAAACGTTCTCAAAGTCACCTAGTGGAGAATTGGAAGACTGGAGCAAATGGCAAGAATTGAAGAATGAGGAAATGAGTGGGGGATTTGAAGATCTTTACTGCTGGGTGGCTGCAGATTGGTAATGGTAATTTGCATGACTCTCTGCAGATAGGGTATAAGTTTGTGCAATTAATCTGTAGTGTAGGGCAGCCAAGAGGAAGGACAACTGTTAAGAAATTTGTAATTAAAATATCTGTGATTTGTGTCAAGACAATTAAAGGGCAACAGAGGCAAGTCAGGCTTAAAGCAAGATTATAGTTAATTCTATCCTCCGGTCATTTAGCAAATAAGTTTGTCATTTAGCAAGTAATGACAACTTGGACTGTCAGCAGGACATCACAAACCTTTTCATACAAGGTGTGTTTTTCTTAACTCTATGAACTACCTATGGCTGAATGTAGCTTCTTCAGAAGAGTGCATCAAAGAGTAACTGGTATTGAAAAGACTACTAATTTAGAAGTTCTGTATCGAAAGACCATACAAATGTGGTTCTATAACTAAGGTTACATTTTATGTTGGTTATATCTGCAAAATGTCCAGACAGCCTCCTGATGGCTTATGTACTTTTGTCAGTTCTTTCATGCTCAGTACGTTATGCATGGTTTTGTGAAGACACTGATTAAACAGCAATCTGGGAAGATGTATGGCAAACAAGAGTTTATGTTCTTCTATGCTGTGTTTTAACTTAACAGCACACCTTCTCCCTGTAAGGCTCAAATGTTAGCACAATAATGTTTCTCTCCTAAGTAACTCAAAATAAATTCAGTAAGGGGTAAGTTGCTTCAAACAGTCAAAGCATGAGACAAAGCCTTGAAGTTATGCTTAGTTCTCATATTCTTTTTCCTTCACCTCCTTTGCTCTGGTTTCTGTATAATATCTTCCCTTTTGGATTAGATATCTGTTGCTAAGAAAGCTCAGCAACAATTTTTGCAAAGAAATCTGTTTGTTCCAAACCTTAGCAATGCTCCCAGGCAGCAGGGTATAGGATTTTCTTTTGTTATTTTTTTGTTTTTCAACATCTGTGCTGCTATTCCGATGCCTTTTATTTTTCTGGATAAAAAAAAAAAACAAAAAAAAAAACACATATACATTACACTGAACTACACTGCACATAAACGGTTAAATTGTTAAAAATTTCCCCTGAATTGACTTTTGCAGAGTATCTTTTACCCTCTTCCCCCTTGTGCTGTATGCCAATCCTGATGAAAACAAGAAAGGAAAGAAAGAGACATTATATCAATTCAGTGAAATCCAATATTTGGAGAGCAAGGCATTTACACTTAGCCATCGTGTGTTCCTGATTGAGGCTGGTTTGAAGGCAGTGTATCACCTGCTCAGGCAGCACCTAGTTCTTTTAATCACTTTCATGTTTCATGAAATCAAATGCATTTTCTTATTTTTTCTCACTTAAAAATGCTGTTATGGACATTGTTTTTGCTTCTTCTATTCAATTATATAGTGATCATAAAAATTAGTGTCAGTAGTTGGAGATTTATTTCTTAAGTATTTGTCAGATAAACTTCTAGTTTTCATTATTTCAGTGACTGGTTCTAGAAGTCTTACAAACGGCTTTAGAGGAGAGAGTCCTAAACCATCTTTGAGGTTGTTTGTGCCAGTGGACTTTAATGAAATTGTAACAGTTCTTCAAGGCAACACCTCTGATCTTGACCTATACGGGCAAAAATATAGTGTTTTATTTAAAAACTGGTACAACTAATCCCCTTGTTTACTGTAAAGACAGCTACAAGTAAGCAAACAGAAATATTTTCAGTCATGCTGGGAAAATATTGTTCACTAAGTGTGGGAACCGAATGTTGTTTCTGCATCAGAACGAAATAAGAATTTTGTTCATTTCATGGGCTCTGCTACCATTTGGGTCCTTTATTAGAACTAATAGTTCTTTTCAGGGGGCCTTTCTACTTTATTGGGATTCTCTGATAAGTTTTCATTGCTAATCCCCTAGATAAATCTTCCCCAACTCAGTATATAAGTAAAGTAATATGTACGTATATATATACCCGTAGAGATTAGGTAGATGGAGTATAGGTAAAAATAGAGAATTAAAGGATATATATATATATCCTTATACATATATATATATATATATAAGCTAGTAACAATTTATGTACAGCCAGCACTGGAAATATATGTCACGCACGTTGCAAGAGTATCCTGCGCAAATTAAAAGGACAATTCCTCACATGCCTCAGGGAGTGCCTGAAGGAGGTATTGAGGAAGTTCGGGCACCTCCTGCCGTACTCTTTGTTTAACGAAGAATCAGAAGAAAATCACCGTGAACAAGAAGAGTGTTGAGACATCTTGGAGACGACAGGACTGACACTAGATGACAAATTAACAAATGTAAGCCTTCTGATGAGATTGTGAACCTGGAGTACCCAGCCAGTGGGGAAACGGGAAGGGGGGGAGGCAAGGGGGAGAAAACAGGGTATAAAAACTGTCGTATCGTGTCCATAGGCGCTCCTGCTTGCGAGACGCCTGCCATTGCAATGGCGAATAAAATCTGCTTTTATCAGATGCCGTCCTGACAAAAATTATTTGGATATTTCCAACAGAAGGACAGAGTGTAAGAATTCATTCTAGCTGTAAAGGAAAGGCAGGTGATGAAACCAATCATAATACTGTAGTTAATTGACAGGTTAAAGAAAGGACAGATATCAGTTTAGAGTGCAATTATATGTATTTACTGTTTATGCCGCAAACCCTGCAGCTTTAGTCTTTTATTTATTGATGAAATGAATTATTCTTTTCACTGACAACAATTTTAGGCCTGTAATTAACAGCTGACTGTATGAAGGAATCTAAAGGATTTCTGGATGGTATTTTTTACAATGACAGCTCTTGGAGGGGGCTTAGTTAATCATTCTGCTTTGCTTTTAATCCTCATGAATATGTGCTTTTGTTTATATACATCGTTGGAGATCGAGTGACTTGCATATGAATGCTTCTTAATGCTAGGAGAGGTCTGGCCTTAAGTGATCTTTACTTTGTCTCCTGATCTATGCCAGCTCTTGTGCAGCCAACAGCGCGGTTTAGGCAGGGTGCTGCAGGGCACGTGCTGCAGGGTGTCCTGCGTAGGGGAGGCCATGAGACACCTGTGACAGTCTCAGATGGTTCTGATGCCAATGAGAACAATTAGTGGGAGCCTCCTCCCTGAAATATTTAAGAAAGAGCTCCAGCTACTGAGGGAAGAGGACTTCTAAGAAGACAGTTGAGAAGTGGAGGAAGCACAGAGGGACCATTGCTGGGGGCATGGTTGGAGACGCGTTCTGGGAAGGAGGTGCTTTGTGACAGTGGAGGAACTTCTGAGAGACCATGGTTGTGGGATACCCACATGAAGAGGTGATACCCCAGGGAGGAGGAGAGGTGGTGGATTGACGTTAGTATGGGAAAAGGGCACAAAAGATGCTGCCCTAAATATTTGGAGCGTTGTTGAATTCCCTCTCCAGCAATGCAATGTTGTGCAACAATCCCCCCATTTTACTACTCCTTTCTCATCTTTTGCCACTTTGCTTGTTTCCAATGGCCCTTCCTTCTTTCTCTGTTTCTGATCTCTAACACCAGATCACTTCCTCTTGATCAACAGTGGATATGTCCCTTCAATTCCCTCCTGTCTCAGCTCTAACATTGATTCTTCTTTCTGATCTGCAGTAATTGTCAAAAAGATAGGAATGTTTGCCCAGAGTTAATAAGCTTAGCTTGCGAAAACACAAACCTGAGCGATTGTATAATCAACCAATAAGATTCGCTCATACGAGCAACATACCATAAACGGGAACCACCAGAAGGGGTCAAGAAAAGGATACGGAGGAAGACTACTTACTTCAACCCATACGACCACTGGGAGGCAGGAGAAGACCCCCTAGCAACAGCCGGATCATGCGCAGACGAACGGTATAAAAGAGCGGGTATTGGCTCAAACCTTGTGACAGTTGATGGAACACAGAATTCCCTTGTGATAAATGTGTCTGCTCATTAACCAGGAGGTAGTAAATATTTCGAGACAAGAATAATCGGGATGTAGTGAATCTTTCATTAAATGTTGATACAACTGCCCAGGCAGTATATTTTTTTTTGAAACTAGAAGCAAGGGGGTGTTACAGCATCAACAAAAGAATAGCCGAAGACCCCAATAACAACAAATGAGACATGCGCAGAGTACCCTGGAAATACCACGGCAGTCATTTGGAACCACATAAAAGAACGGCCCCAATCTTCGGGTGGCGCGGCAGTTGGCAGGACGGAGATCCCCCTGTCGCCCAGCACTGCATTGCCTCTTTGTTCTTTGCTCATTATAATTAATAAATTCAACAATTGACTCCTTAAGTTTCTGGTCCATCATTTTATTATTTATAACAGTAATGATGGTACCTAAAAAAAAAAAAAAAACAAAAAAACAAAAACCTTTGTTCTCAATACTTTCATCTTCTCTCATACTCCTTAAATGATCCTTGTCTGAAAATGGGACAGGTACACCTCATCAAGAGCCATTCAAAGTGGATACAGCAATTGTTGAATCTGTTCTTTATCATTTGTCTTGATTCCCACTTTCTCCCTTTTTTATCTCTTTTGCTTTGTTAAGGGGAACTTCCGTGATTTAAAAGTAAAGGAAGAAATCAGAGTCCTTATTACATATTTTGGGGTCTGAATATGTAAAATACCAGTCAGTAGTGATATCAAGTGGAAAAAGAACATGCAGTATAGATCTAGAGAAGGTTCCATTGCCTGCCTGGAAAGAACAAGACTTTTGCCCCTGATTAGTTACTGCATTAATGTCCTCTTGGCAGAACTGTTGCTGTGGCTAGTTTCTGGGTTTCAATGAATTGCCTTAGGCATGGGCAGTGCAGGATGGCTAGTGCTCTGTAGCCAGTGGAACTCTGTTCCTGTCTGCACATTAATTAGCTACCTGCATCTAAAAAGTTTTGTGTCTTCTCAGTGAACAGATTTCCATTTCCACATCTTCCCTTCTTCTGAATTATTCATAAATCCTGGGGGAAAAAAGCAAAAAAAACCCCAAAAACCAAACACAACCACACAAGAGGATGGCATGGCAGTCACTGCAAATAATTATTTCACAAGTCAGCAGCACCAGCTCTTGTTAAATCCCCAGTGCACTCTGTGCTAGTAAAACAAATTAACCCAGAGTAGCATGCTTTTGCATATGAACCAATGGTGTCAGGGAGAGAAGCAAGTAAAAACACGGTCTTCTTTGAGGTTGCTCTCATAAAAAATCTGCTGAAAAAAACAGATTGCACTCTGGGTTACATTTCTTACTTTCCACCAAGTCAGTAAGAGCTTTTTGGTATGAAGGTCCTGAGCTGCCACCTGATGTCAATTTAAAGAGACAGATGACTACCCACAAAGTGAAAAATAATGTGGTGTTATCCCCTGAGGTACAAACTCCACATAGCAATCAGAAAAGAAAGCTGCTCTAGAGAGAAGAGAGAGCAGTACTGACAGTGGTGAAGTTGACAAGAGTCTCATTTTGGAGTTGACTGTGTTGATATGGCTTCGATAGTTCCCAATCTCTGTTACAGCTGTCAGTTCCCTTCTCCTTTTTTCACCAGCTTCTGAACATGTCCTTCTTCTTATGTCATATACTGCAAGCCCTCCTTTACAATTAATACTTTAAATTAGTCCCCTAATGCTTACTAGTTTTTATTCAAAATTTCAACAAATGACTTTCAAGAAACATCCTTGTTTCATGCCCATGGTTCTTTTCATTAGACTTTTCTTGAGGGCTGCCATTCTCTTCTCTGTGTTCCTCTTTTCTTTCTCCTCATATCTATCTATGTCACTCCTTCATAAATTATGAACAACATTCCTCTTGTAAGAAAGCTCTCTTTACCACTCATCTTCTGGGCTGGCATTGAGAAAATGTACAAGGAAGCAGATATGAAGAAAATAAAGCCCCCGAGGATTAAATACTGTTAGAGGAAAAAAAAAAAAAAAAAAAAAGAGAGAGAGAGAGAAGCAAAAAATAGGCACCTTAAAAATCTCCACTGTGCTACAAATGCTCTCAGGTACTTCAAAATGAGTAAATTTCTCTGGTCACAACAGAAATTTTTCAAATGGATTTTTATCATTGTTATTTTTAGCTAAAGACCTTTGTGTACACATATAAAAATATATATATATAAATTTAGTCGAGAATTCTGTGAGATAGTATCAGCTGAAATGATGTTCTACCTTGCAGTTACCACAGCCATAGAACATCATTTTGCCAGAAAAAAAACCATGACCATTCTCATTTACATATCAGAAAAAGTTTAAATAGAGTAAGCTTATTGATCTTATGTTTAATTTAGGATCTTTGTGCATCACTTTCTTTATAGCTTTTTGCAAAGATTCATATAAACTGGAGGTCTCACAAATTAATTCTATACATTTCTGCTCTTTGATAATATGTGAAAAATGGAATTTTTTTTTCCACCCATTTTGAAAGTCATTCCTGTAGACTTGAGTATGAACTGCAGTACTAAAAATAACCAGATTTACGTCACTCTGTTGGCAAACAAGTTTTGTCTAAAACAAGATGAATGTTATTATTTAACCGGGTCAGAGAGGTATACAATGAACTCTTGCTTAACAAGCAAGGTATAAGCACATGGGATTCTGATGAGGCTAGAGTTACTATCTGTTGGAAATATACAGATAATTTTTGTCAGGACGCTGTCTCTGATAAAAGCAAATTTTATTCGCAATTGCAATGGCGGGTATCCTGCAAGCAGGAGCACCTATGGACACAACGTGACAGCCTTTATACCCTGTTTTCTCCCCCTTACCTCCCCCCCCTCCCCTGGCTGGGTACTGCAGGTTCACAGTCTCATCAGAAGGCTTACATTTGTTAATTTATTTGTCATCTGGTGTCAGTCCCGTCCTCCTGTTGTTTCCAAGATTTCTCAGTGATTTTCTTGTCATATTGATATGGTGATTTTCTTCAAAGTCTTCTTTATACAATGAGTACTGGAGGGGCATGATGCCAGGACTTCTGATGTCTCTTCAGATGCTTCCTCGTACATGCCATGACTTGTTCTCTGGTTTGATCAATCTCGTGCAAGATATTCTTGCAATGTGTATGAAAAAATATACATATATACACCTATATACAGAGCTTGCGTTCCTGGGGAAGGTTCATCTAGAGGATAAGTGATATAAACTATCAGAGACCTCCCCCCCAGGTAAAGTAGAAAGACACCCAAAAAGAATAATGACAGCGGAGATTATGAAATAAAAAAGATGTTATCCAATTCTAATGCAGAAACAACATTTGATTCCCACATACTTGCTGCAGAATTTCATGTGGATGATCTTATGTGTTTTCTGTTTTTATTTTAGAGTTGTTTAGTCTGAAAGTTTCATCCATTTATAAAGGTGAGTTAATGGTCTTGCATATACATTCTGCTCTCAGTCAGAAATGATGGGTAAGCAGAGGCTAAAAATAAGAATTTCAGTTTTCTGTAGTTCCTATGAACCCCTGAAAGAGTTCACACTTTCCCCTGACATTCTTAGTACTTGAGTTAAATTGAGATAGTGTGCAAAGAAGGGTTATTGTTATTAGCAGCTGTAACTTTTGTTGTCTTATTTTTATGCATTTGCAAGGAAAACTTTTTTAACTAGTATTGCCAAGGGGAGAATTTGACCTGTTTCATAGTCTTTTTTTGCTTGTTAGAGACAGAATTCTCATTAAGTGCCTGATACTTTTTATTCTTGAAGCATCTTGGTATAGCTGGAAGCATATCAATTGAAAATAGAACACCTTTAAAATAAATTCAGTATTAAATAAACACCTGTTCATTAAATCTGCAACTCTCTCTGCAGTTTGGTAGCAGATGCTATTGCTAATGATACCGACTGTTTGACAGGCAAGTTAGATGCTAATGGAATGTACTAGAGATTAATCTGGATGCTTCAGAACATTATATGCCAAAATAAATTCTGTATTTCTCTCTGAAATAAAACAAGACAAATATGCTAGGGGGACTGAGTAAACTTTTTTTGTTGTTGTTTAAAAAGATGTTAAGCTTCACACCATTAGCCAGTATTTGAACTAGACTAAACTCAGCAAGGGTTCTGGCATTTTTTGAGCCTTTTATTTTTATGTGCTGCCTTGCTTAAGGGGTTATCTGGACAAGGGAAATGAAATTTCAGAGGCACAAATAGCAAGTGGAGTTTGTTGTAATATTACTGAGCTGTCTAAATAAAAAAAAAAAAAAAGAGATGCTCATGGTCTTTTGCAAAAGACTTAAATGTGATGTTTAAACCAGACAAGTTTATACAAGTGCCCAAAGTGAACCTAAGTTTAATCTTTTCTTTTTTCCCCTATGGATGTCATTGGTAAAATTTAAGTTTTGTTACTTTAACAAGCAAGCCTCAATGCTTTTTTTAAAAAAAAAAAATGCTCCGAGCATAGTCAGGGTTTCTTTCTTTTGAGACTGAGATTGAGATAGACTGCTACTAAGAGATAACTCCGCTTGTTTCTCTCCAACTACAACTTTTGTTCTTACTCCTTCAGAAGCTACCAGGAGCACTCAGGGAGAAAAAGTGACTCCAAGTGGACAATGAAAGTACTCAAAGAAAGAAACAAAAAAAAGAAAAGAAAAAATGTCAAAAGGACTTCCTAACTGACCTGGGAACAAAATGCCAGAAGGAAGTCAAAGAAGGTGAAATGATTTAAAGAGAGTCCCCTCCTCGACCTCTATATGTGCAGTGATATATCTTAGCCTTATCATTCAGGAATGAAATTTTGGAGTTGCAATAAATAGCGTATGAAAACCTTATATGATCTCCATGTCTAATAGCAGTCAGAAGTAGGATAAATGATTAGAAATCCTTTTCTTCTTTATTTAAAACCATGGTGCACCAGCTTCTGTTATACTCTGTAGCATTCTAGTTTTTTTTCTTCTCAAAAATATACCTTTAAAAGGTCCCAGGAAGGACAATAAGAATTATCAAAGATATGGAAAAGCTGCTTTTGAGAGAAGACAGAATACTTTTGTCCTCTAATTATACTGCTCCTAAGTTGCTTCTTGTAGGCTTCAGCTGGGGACAGGATGCTGTGCTATGTGTATCTTTGTTGTGGCCCAGGGTAGTGGTGCTGTGTGTGTCATGGTGGGAGGAGTACAGTACCAGGGCAGGCTGACACAGTCAAATTCCATTGAAGCATAGTATTCACCACTGCTTTCCTTTGAAGAAGCGTTGGTCTCCTTTCATATATGAAGTGTGAGAGTGGCTGAGTCTGCAAAAGAATTCAGATTAAGGACTGCTTCATGAAGTTTTTTCCAAATCCTTGCATTATGCTTTCAATTTATTTTTCAAATGCTTAA